CCTCAAAACCTAGTTTCCTTATATATGGCTACCTATATTTCAGAGTGGTGTGCTATGTATAATAAATCATTCGTAAGCAAAACAGTGATGGCTGAAGAAATTAAAGGTGTAATGAAGATTTCGACAAAAGGAAAGAAGCAGAAAAGACTGGAAACACAGAGCCAGATGAGGGACGGTTGGGTTACTGTTGTCAACACGTAAGTAACAAACTGCCCCCCCCCCCTCCGGATCCCTTGCCCGTTTGTTCTGTGTGTGGGGAGGGGGGGGAGGGCTTTAAGAGACGGAGCCGGAGGCCCAAGTAGGAGGTCACTCCTAACTTGAACCGTAGACCTCTTCTCAATCTAATTGTGCACGGTCTCTTTTCTTCTGCATCCCCGTCTTCTGTCTACATCCCCGAAGTGTTAGAGCCGTGCTTTAAAGACTGGCTTTATGTCAGTTCTGAGCGGCCGGTACTGGGCTTGCTCTTACCCTTTTTCACTACTATAGTAACCTACAGGGCCTCTATAACCTTGACATTAACACAATTTCTTGTAACGTTAACGCCTTTATAATACATTTCCGCCACAATACTTTCTCATATTGCTGTATGACATTTGATGTATAGCACTTTTGTTTTGTCTTATCAAACATCCTTATGCCAGACCCCAAGAAAAAAAAAAAAAAAAAAAATCCTTACACGGGGCTTGACCCCACCCCCTCCCTAATGGCCTAAGATGTTGACGCGACAGCGTTCCATAAATAACAAGAAATGCAGTGTTTTGAGTATTTATCCAAGTAATGTATGTATGCACCTTTCTATTATATATTTGATTATATTCCTGTTCAAATGTACCCCATTAAATTACTTTTTCTTAAAGGAAAAGAAGCCTCGGCAAGTAAAAGTTGACAATTGAAACAGAGAAATAGAAAGAAGAAAAAGCAGCAAAAGTTGGTCAACTTCTACAGTTTCCAGGACAGACAGACGAAAATGGACCGTAAGTATTGGAGCTCCGAAAGTCGAGGAATTATATATGAGAGATGACATACATTGTCAGTCTTCGATTTCATAATGTGTATAGAGAGATTTATGCTTATTTCCCCCGTCAGATCTTGCACAGCTTCGGAAGAAATTTGAGGAAGACAAGAAGAGGATAACTCAAATGAGAACATCCAGAAAATTCAAACCATACTAAAGCAGTCGGCGATTATGGAGGAAAGTTTTGTGGATTGAAGTTATATTAAATTTTATTTACTAATTCCGTGTATTACTGGTTACCTGTTGTCTGTAATATAGAGTTGGAGGGAGCCCAACTCAAGTGTAATAAGGGCAGAATTAATAATTGAATATAACCGGAAATAATCTTTAAAATTCAATGCATTGGAGTTCTCAGTATCAAGTGTTCCGTTTCTGAATATTGCATAAACATTCCAATAAGGCTATTTATCAGTGAAAAAATAGGGTAGAGAAAATACGTGTACTTGAGCACTTGACTATCAATTTGGCCAACTGCAATATTACTGGTAATATGGATATTTGAAAATTTCACTTGGCATGTAAAAGCAAAACTTAAATGGTTCATCAGAGCTTTAATTCATATATTTTCGGTTTACTTCAGGGAAGTTTCATTAATTAGTACGTTTTTGCTGTCCGATAGATTCTCATTTGGTTGTAATGGGAGTCGATGCTCATATGGCGTTGGTGCACTCTCAAAGGCAAGTTTTTCAACCATCTCGGTCAAGTATAAAGACGTCCATTTCTTTTCTTTGCTTTTCTTAATATATATATTGCAGAAGTCCTCAACTGGACACCGTTCTGGTTAGTTGGTCCGAGTCCAAATTAAAAAGGCCAGTTGCAAAATTAATTACCCACTCTTCCGCCTTTGTAACTTCGCCCTGTGGCGTTATCATAGGGACATTTTAACACCTTTCGTTTCCTCACTTTATTTTAGGAAGAAAATGAAGCATCAACTGATATATATTTTTTATTAATAAAATATCTTGGGTCACTTAAATTATAAAGGGAGGTAATTAGCTGACAATCTATACCTTTACAGCATCAGCACGGTGTTACAACTAATAGCATGCAAAAATATAAAGATCGAAAGTACACTCGCACATGGAAGAAATGGTCTAATTCCCCATACTAACACGGTCTCAAAAACTAGCATATACTAGTGATGGCACTCAAGATATTTGGCAATAAAAATGTAAATGTTTACCTGTCACTTTCATTATACGTTTGTAGTTATTGCATGGCACATTTTGCGCTTTAAATTTCAAAGAAACTTGCAAACTATAGATTGACATGAAGGCCATCTTCATTTTTATCCAAATAATTTTGCAGTGCAGAGCATAACCCCTCCCTTATAACAATGAGGTCAGTTCTGTATATCATAATGACTTTGGTTCTAACTGCAGCCTTCAACGGTTACAAGATAGGAGCTGAAGAAATGCATATGTAAATATAATTAAGTGATCTTTAACTTGAAGTCTTATAATTATATATCAAGGGAGAATTATTGTATGATTTAAAAATTCCAAGCCTGTGGAAATAAATCCTTGGTCTATAAAGATTAAATCTAAAGTTGTTGAAACATTAAAAATACTTACCTTAACAAATTTTTCACCCCCTTGTTGAGATCGGTTCTGTTTTGAAACATTTTTGCTATTGTTATATTTGTTAACTAAATACAACTTGGATCCAGACTTACTTACTGTTCCAATTCGTTAAGTGAACAATGAAGAAAAAATTGAAGCTAGCCAGTCTGAAATAAATGTCAACTTGCTGCTGACTATTATGAATTGCCTTTCAACTGTATAACATGTCAATTTTAGCATTGCAATATACAAGCTCTTAATAGCTTAATTTAAAGCAAAATACTATTAATCTAAGCACAAGGTCTTTAACTCGGATATCTTTGTGAAATGTCTGTTAGCCGAATTTTTAATAATATTCAATGATGCAAATTTATTACTAATGCAAGTGGTGTTGTGCAGCTCCATTTTGTCACACCAATGTTTAAAGAGGCAATTAACTTCGAATGGAGTGCAAACTGAAATTTAAATTATAGACAATATACAAACCAAAGATAAAAGCATCTCCAGTCATTCCTCCACCACAATCCTCAGTTTGATCCAATTACTCGCAAAGTGAATCCTACATACAGAAAAGGCATCTCGATACTTTCTTTCCCTCTACTATCTCCCTTTTTACCTGCATTAATCATGACTCACATGATCTGCAAATGAATACTCTCAATGATTTCTACCCACTAGTTTAATGGTTAACCTGCATTTTGTCTTGAGCATTTCAGTTGCTGAGCTGATAAGTTACAGTTATACTTGAATATTCATACGAGCTTCCTTTTAAACTTCAACAACTGTGGTCAATTCCTTCACCTTTCACTTGACTGTTCTAAAACGCAAGTTAATATAGCTTTGTTAATCTCACCACATGCCTATACAATAAGTAATAAATAAAAATGACAATAAATAAGAAAGCAAATCTAAAAAGGGCTAGTTTTGGTCTTGGGTTAAGAACACAATATTTAGCTGTGATTTTTTTATTATTCGACAGAGCACTCTAGCCATACAATCATTCACAATCACGCCAAAAGGACAACAGTAGAGAGCACACCAAGCTCTAGCTCACCATCAAAGGCTGTAATGATAGATTCAAGGCAACACATTCCAAAGGATACCAGTAGAAGGTGGAGCCTCAAATCCACAACAGCCACATTTATCTCATCACATCTCTTCAGTCTCCACCTGTATCTCACTCCTCCTCACACATCACCTTCTGAACATCTTCACAGTAAAGACCCACAAGATCTTACATATCCAATGTATCATTCTCAGGTTCACATAATGTTCATTCTCCTAGCTAGCAATACATACAGATGTTAGGTCACACTTTCCATCTCACATCAGCTACTTCAGAGCAGAAAGACGGCTCTCTTGGTGATTCTAACTACTGGGTCCTTCCTAACCTTGCCATATTGCCAAGTGACGTGCCTCTTCAAGGTATTAGTATTTATTACAAGAAGATGACAACACTTTTCAAATTAAAGAGTTGGTAGTATAATCTACCTCTCTGCGAGCAAACATGGAGCACCGACTCGGAATGAATAGGTAATTACAGGTAAAGTGGGCTTTCTTTTAGATTTACTCCATGCTCTGATCTACAGACGAGTTTCACCAACCAAAAAGTTTAGATACACCTTAGGTGTTTTGGTCACACATAACTCACTCTGGTCACCTGACAGGACACGCACTTTTGTACCTTCCTATAATATATTTCTGAATAAAAACTCACGCAACACACACTTCATAATGAGCCCGTTTGGAGTTCATGTACACATCAGATATGGGTGATAAATGCTAATACTAATAATAAAGTGAATAAAATCTAGGTGAAATGAATGGAAAAAAACAGCATCATGTTTGTAGTTATCAAACTACTAGTGTCAGCCGTACCGGAACACTCATGCCAAAATTCAAACAAAACGCTCTTCCACTAAATGACTTGGAAAAGAAAGAAAAAAATCTCTTGTGATAAAACACAAGGCCTGCTTGTTAGTCGTACGTGGCTCTGTCATACCTTCTTTCATCAGCAGGCCAGGGGATAGCAGGAGGACTGGTAAGGGCAAGAGGCATGATTTTAAGATCTAGGCTGTTTTGGGCATGATTTCTTTGAGGGGAACTACATGTTAAGACAAGGTGGGATATGATCACTGAACAAATGCAGGCCAAATCTAAAAATTAAAAAAATTAAAAACAAGAAATAAATGCCATTTCCATCTATTTAATCTCCAAAATATACCGGACAACACAGTCTTCCTGCTTCCAACTAGCTCTTACTGCTGACCACCATGCTCAACACACAGACTTTGTACTGTGATTCCCAGGTCAGTGACCTCGGCAACACTGAGAGGTGAGGTCAGGTGAGGTCAAGGTAATAGTTGCCCCCTACCCCAGGATATATTTCTGCTATGCATAATAGGATTTGTAGCCATGAACACATATTGCACAAAGCACTCAATGTTGTTTGTTTTTTAATTATCAATGTTTTTTGTTTTGTTTTATTATTTGCAAAAAGACTACCAAAGAATCTAGTCGAACTGGGAAGTGATGGCTCTCCTAGCAAGACCCAAAATGACAAGTGTAAAGCAATATTTGTGCAGTGCTCATTGACAAAATGCTATAGTGAGAAGATTTGAGCAGGGAGTAGGGGCACGAGTCTACACTAAGCCAATGAGACTCATGCACTTTTTGGATGCCGTATTATAGATGCACACAAGTATTAAAATAAAGAGGCCAATGCTCATACAAGACTTCAAAATATATCTTAATTTGTTGCATTGTCACACACTCATAGCTTGGCCTTCCTAGTCTACACACTCAGGGCTTCCTCGGTCACACCTCACACTGGCAAATATTTGAGTCTGTGATTAGAGTGAGAAACATGATTATTTAGTGAAGCTATCAGCAATGCCCAGCCTTGTGTGGTAATTCAACAAGATAATTTTCCAAGAAAAAGCCAAGTAGAATTAACACCTGTAGTTGGGCATTTCTAACAGACTCACTTCCTTGCTGAAACAAACACACACTATATACAGGACTCCTGGTTCCACACTGTTCACAAAAGGCGAACAGCTAAGCTATTAAGCAATAAAGTGTGACCTTAGATTACAATGGTGTTGTGAAGCAGGTTGGAAATCAAATGATCAACTGTAACATTAATAACAGCATTTCTTGAGAACGGTATGGAGCCAGGCTCATGGTACCGATTGCCACTGATCCTCTTCACCCAGCAGAGACAGACCTGTCCTTGTACCATATACAAGGGATGGTACGCAGTCGCTCTTCTCTACGGGGCTCAGAGGGCCTCTCTCTCACGCTACCGAGACTTCCACACCCCACTGAACTGACTTGGTTTAGCTCGGTCCTGGCATTGGCAAGCTCTGCCATCCACACGTCCATACCACTCTCAGTACAATATAGCTGTCACACTGCTGGTCACTTTCCTTCTGGCGAGGCCGCCACCACCCATGCCCCGGGAGGCTACACGCAGCAGGAGAGGAGCGCCCTAGCAATCATACCATGTGTTCGGACACTGCTACAACATTCAGGGCCTAATACCTGGGCCCCAGCACCCACCCATACATGCCCACCACCACAAACGATACACACTAAGCGTGAATATTACCATCATTAAAGTTAAAGTGAATACTTGCCTAAATCTAAAGCATGCTTTAATTTAAACAAGGGACGAGGGAGTGTTGACATGACCACACACACATAACACCCCTGAGCCACCCCCTCTGCCCTTGCAGGCAGGTGTTAAGAATCTACTTGTCAGACATACGATGTAAACATTCTGACCAAGTCATACCAATAGTCATGGCCTGTGTCTATCATCCACTCCTCACCCACCCAAGTTTGCAAAGCATTCTTACATGTAATCTCCCCTGTTATACCCCTTGTCTCCCCTACCCTGAGAAGGGCCCCAAGAACCACTCTGACTACCGTCTCCCCATCCGCCACCAGAGCTCCCGGATCCCCAGCCTCCCTGACTCTGGTTACTTGGGGGAGGATTTGAGTGCCCCTGACTGGATTGCCCCCCTGGTTGTAGCCACCCGGTGCTTGGGTTCCATCTTGGCTCTGCTGCTGCAGGTTACCTAGGAGACCCCAACTGGCTTGACTGAGTGCAGCAAGCATAGGCATGGTGAGGGCTCCCATGTTGAGTGGGTTTACGTTCTGCCCACCACCCTGTCCTCCCTGCCCAGGTCCCCAAGGCCCAGGGAGGTTCCAAGAGCAGCCAAGTTGGGCATTTCTCGGTTCCCTCCCTGGTTCCAGACCCCACCGTTATTCATCCCCTGACCATAGCCTCCCTGACCATATCCTCGACCGTCACCCATGCGTCCACCACGCCCAAAAGGTCCACGGTTGGGGTCACTCTTGGGTGCAGCGTTAGACACATGGACTGAAGTACCCTTCACTATGTGATCCTCACCACAAAGGCTCTGAGCTACTTCAGGATCTAAGAAAGTGACAAAGGCAAAAGCCCTGAAAGGCTTAGGAATGAAAACATCGGTGACCTCACCAAACTTGCTGAAGTATTCACGGAGATCCTCCGGTCCAATGTCTTCTGTGCAACGGCCAATGAACACTTTGCTGTTCACTGCTGCACCATACCTTCCTGCTAGAAGAAAATACATTAGACTTCTAGCATTTCATCATTCTACATTACTTTCTAATTACAAAAATCTCTCATGTCTACAAATAGCACACCAATGGTCTAGACCTTCTGCCAAACTGAAATAAATCAAGCATTTAGTATCGGCCTTAATAGCCATACACTTCATTATCAGAATTATACCACTGACTTAAAACTATATACCATCAAGAATATTATCCTCATCATCAAACAAGCAAAAGTAATAAAGTATGGTGGCAAACTACCTTCGAGTTGGGGATCTTGACATCACAAAGACGTCCGTCAATCATGTGGCGCTGTGACAACACGCGCTGCTGGGTGTCGTAGTTGCCAAACCTAATGAAACCAAAACCTTTGCTCTGGCCAGTCTTGGGGTCCTTCTTAACCTGTTGGTGATAATGGAAACCAAAATTAGCATTGCCCTAAGAACCACCTTCATCAGAAGCTCAAACTTTCCAAATATCAGCTACATTTTGATACAACCAGGTAAGTGCAAACAAGAGCCGAAATCCAGGAAACCACTTACCTGGGCCATAAGAACCTCCCCAAAAGGTTCAAAGTATTCACGCAGTTCCTTCTCAGTTGTCTTCCAGGGAGGCCAAGTACAATCAGATCGGAGCACCTCTGCTTGCTTTCCATTCGCTTGGTCTTCGACATGGAGCTCTCCAAGTGGTCATCAGACTTCCTCTTGTTCTTGATGAAAATGAAGATTGTTCAGCAACTGTATAACAGTTGCCCATATTTAGATTCAGAGTACCAACAGTGGGCACTATAATAGTGACAGTAAGCCTAAATTTCTATTCCAATTTGGTTATTTACATATCAACTAGTCAGTAAATATGGGAACATCAATAAATACCCTTCCCAAACCACTTATTCTATACAAAAAAAAAAAAAATCAAGTAGTCCCTCTACTAACTGGAACGCTAATACATTACAATATTAGTATTTCCAGGGCATTCTACCACGTCATACATTCCTCACATCAAGCATCCTCAATTCGTCTACCTACAAGCCCCTTAGAGAGGCCTCTGCTCCACAACTAACAAAATACTCCCAAATTCGCCTATTTCTTCGTTACCGGTCCCCGAACCGACCCTCTCCTACATTCATCCTACTCCCTATCACCCCCTCCCTCTTACACGCCTACAAGATGCTCTTCTTCATCTGGCTTTCAAGGCATCGCCTCGTGCCCGGCTCAAACCCCCCCCCCCACTCCTCCTCTAACCGTCCCCGCCATCCCAAGCCTCTCTCTCCAACCGCCATGCTTCTCTCCTCCGTCTTCTTTCCCATCTCCGCGCGTGAAACAAGCCCAAGAAACGGAGACGGGGAGGGGCAGAGATAAGACGTCGATGGCGCCACCTCATCCTCCTCCATTCCCGGCGTCCTGCCCCCCCCCTCCCCAGGCCGCCCGCGTCCCCACGCCGGCGATCCACGCGCCCTCCGCCGCCACACCGCCGCCGACGCCGCCATCTCGCGCCCTGACTTTTCCCCCTCTATTTCCGTTCGCGCGATGCTGGATTCTGGGTTTTCGGGGTCGAAGGGGGAGGGAAAAGGTTATTCGCGAAGGGGAAAGGAGGGAAATGGTCTTTTCTACCTTCTTTCTCCCGGGTTTGTCTCCGGTACCCCCTCCCCCCCACCCACCGTCCCCCCGCCGCCGCCACATACGCGTTGCTTTTCCTAAGTCCCATTTTCTCGATTTTACCCCTTGATTCGCCGTGCTTCCCTCCCCTGATCTTTCCCCACGCTAAAGGAACCCGCGGCCTCCCTCCCGCTCCGCCCCGGCCCGAGCAACGCGTCCAAAAGGCGGAAATGAGGCGTCCATGGCGTCCCCTCCCGGCCCCCACCCCGAGCACCGGCGTCCCAAGCCAGCGCCGCGTAGGCCTACATAATTCTAGAGATTCCGCCCCAGCCCGAAGCCCCAACGAAAAGAAAATGATCCGCACCCTCACCTTTGTGGGAACACGCAGACGAAGACGTAGTTCCATCCTTCGTCGGAGCGTGGAGGCGGCCATCGACGAGCCTGACGCCACGCAGACCGCGGCTGTCGGGTGTCGGTACTTCAAGCCGCAAGCGCCGGGGAATTGCGCCACCAGAGTCGACAGCAAAAGGGTGCTGTCCTCCTCCGTGGGGATCTCGATGGGCTCGTCATTCTCTTCTTCGCAAACTTGGATGTAGCAACTCATCTTGACCATGCAGGCACGCGCCACTCAAGCTTCACAAACACACACGCAGCAAAAACACACAGGGCGAGAGGCGACCAGGACG